AGAGGTGGCGGTTGTCTTTTCCCGCTGGATGGCGAGATCCGGCACCGACCTACCCGTCGTTCTGCAGGTATTTTCCCACCAGCAGGGGACCTCCCCCAGCCGGGACAAGATCCCGACATGTGTGGTAATGTAGTGCGTGTAAGTGAAAGTGGGTGCATGTAAGTAAAGGGTGAGTAGTAGACGAAGAAAGCGCGCAGTCCATGACCCGTTTACATTCCGCCCTCCATGTTACATTCGATCTAGCTATGAAGCTATCAAACATCCTGTCACCATCGGAAGTGGAACCCTAGGACCTCCCGATCAGAGGTACTGCACTCCCATCGAGTGATGCCTTGAATCACCTTGCTACACACGTGCACCTGCTCATTGACAATCTGTTGGGTGGGACTCACCGTCAAGAGGTTTATGAAACAAAAATAAAAAAATAAAAAGTAATAAAAAATAATATTATAAATTAAATTACAAAAAATAAAAAATTAATGTAATAAAAATAATAAAATGAAATTAAACACAAAATAAAATAAAATAAAATTGATGACCTGCGCCACCTAAGCCGGTCGTATTACAATTGGAGTAAATGGATCCTTCCTCTTAAACGAGCGCCCCCACAGCGGCGCGGCGGCGGGCGGGCGGGCGCGGCGGGGGGAGGGCGGGGCGGGCGGGCGCCGCGGGCCGGGCGGGCGGCGGGCGGCGCGGGCGGGGCGGGCGGGCGCGTAGCGGGTCGGCGCCCCGCCCCCGTGCGTGCGTGCGTGCGTGCGTGCGTGCGTGCGTTGCTGCGTACCTGCAGGCGGGCACGCTGAGCGGCCGGATGAGCGATCTGACGGCCGGCGGCATGGCGGGCGCGGGCAAGCGCCGGCTGTGGACACGCACAGCGCCGCCGTGGTGAGCTTGGTGACGAGCGAGTACGAGGCGGGGTCGCGCGTGGGCGTGGACGAGGCGCTGCCCGAGCCGCCGCCGGCGCGGAAGGCGCGCCGCAGACGCGACCGCAGCCCGCCCCCGCCGCTCGGCGCCGCCTGCGGACGCCATTACACACATTGGAGAGAAAAACATTACTAGGGGCGGGTTTTAATGACCTAAAACATATCCCACAATTATCAATACAATGCTCTTAAAATGTGTTCAAAATAAGGTGACCAATTTTTTAAAATGAAAAGGAGCACAAAAAATGAAGAAAATTGTACAACGTAAATAAATTAATAATGTATTACTTTAAACAAAAATACACTAATTATGCGTACATCCATTTTAACTTTTAATTAAACAAGTATTTTTCTATCGAAATAATACTTTTTGACAACGTATCATTTACTAATATTATATTGGAAATTACAAAACAAGAAATATCCTTCATCTTGAATTTTACGGAATGTGCTGCAGTTAGAGTAAAACATTCAATACTGATTTCTCCCTTGTCCAAAAATCTGAAATACCAAAACTAAAACTACTGAAAAAGGCGAGAATTCTGTTGGTATAGCTACACTAATATATTTGTAGGCTGAAGATTTTGATATTGTAAGAAAAATTCATTGCTTGATACTTTCTCTGATACTTGATACAATACAGATTTAAAACAGCATCTTCCAGAAGAACGATTTTCCTGCTGCGATAGTTTATGTAACACTGTTTCTAAATCAGTATATGTAAGTAATTCATTTAGGTTTTACAACTGTCTTAATTTCATAAAATTAAATAATAAAGGCAGATTTTCCACTATTGGTGTTACGCTCATTACCATCAACAATAAAAACGACACATCGATGGTGATTGCTGTTGTTCACATTTGAATCTTGACATCTTATATGATAATACTCAGACGAGAGAGTCACCGATATCACTTTTCAATTAATACGAACAGTTATAATTAGGAGATTGACAGCATTGTCTTGAGTTGTACCTACTCATTTATAAGAAATCTGGTAGTAACATTGATTTCTTACGTAGTAATCATACACAGATGATTATGAATTTTATGTTTTTATGTTTTATGATTTTATGTTTTAATGTTTTTATAATTGAAGGATCTAACAGTGCTTATGTTTGCTCTACACGTTTATAAAGGAGGCCCTGGTGAAAGTTTTGCGGGAGTATCCGTACTCATTTCGTAAGGCTACAGTACGAACTAAATCTCTGACTAGAGTGCGGTTTTTATAACTCTTCCCATCTAGGCCCTACATCACAGTGACATTATGTTACTTTTTTATGTCTTTATCGGTCCTGCCGCTTGATCGCGACCGATTAGCAGTACTGGATGCGCGATCGTCTGACATCTAGCTAACACTTGTTACGCCGCCATATAAGGTTTCATCGTAAATGGTTAGGAAAAGATTGGTTCTAGTCTCTTGAATCTAGAGTTATTTTGTCGTAATTTATTAAATGAAGTCCTTTTGGACGTTCTACAGTTCTAAAGAGTATTTCAAAGATAAGTTCTCACATATCTTCGAATGTTTTTGACCACACATGCTTCGGAGTGGAAGTACTCTTCTGAACTGAAGGAGGACCAAAACGTCTTCGTTTATTAAATACGAAGCTCTTTTAACTTTTAAAATAATTATTTAAAAGTGCGATCTTTTAGTTATTACGATTGTTTCGTGCAAAAAATGAAATGCTTCTATTGGTTTTTCAGTGGGTTTGGCTCTTGACAACTGTAGCAACGCACAATGGTACACAAGTAGTTTCTACCTCCAGGAGAGTCACTGCATAGTTGATTGCCGCTCCCTGTGGTTAAGAAAAGTATTTTGTAATAGAAAACAACACATCTATGTGAAGTTATATTTACTATTTTATACCGCGTGATTTTTTTTATTTATATATTTATTTGCTTGACAGTTTAGAATATTTACCCGCTCATCCTACTGGGCCTTATGACGTAATGAACAGTTCAAGGGTAGGGGGCGTTCTACGGTGTGCTCCAGTATGCAGGTATTATTGTTTTAAGGATTTACAAAGTGAGGGATGGTCCTTTGGTACCAAATAGTGTTGAAATACATGTAATAATTTTAGTGAATATTTAAAGCAGTTTATTAGAGAAATTTTCCATTTCTGTTTTCATAATTAAAGGCATAAATCAGTGCTTGCCATATGCTCCTGTGTCCTTAGATCTTGACTGCGCATCTAACATTTGAAATCATTATCTCAGTTTTGTAAAATATAATAATAAAGTTTTAATGTACAAACCATACACGTCTCGTTAAGTCCACATGTTTGTAACCCGAAACAAATCTTGAAAATGTAAGCAAAAGGTAGTATGTAAGCGATAAAGTGATTTGCATTAATTTGCATAACATATTTGCCAACAAAGCAAAACGCCCTCTTGTACGTTTGATAAGATGCATTCGTTAATAATGGTATGTAATCTATTCCTTGGTTACAGGGTACCTTTCAGTTTATCATTAGTAGTTGAAATCAAATTGTGAACAAGATTATTATTACTATTATTATTATTATTATTACTATTATTATTACTATTATTATTAGTTTAAGAGACTGCAATGTCAAATTATATTTACCATAAAAATTCATACGAGCAATATACTTATTTTTTCATTTCTTTATCGAATTTGTGGAATGAGTTCAAGGAAATTCTTGAAAAGTTTCAAATTTACAAATCTATTTTTCTGGTAATATTTCACATTAATTCCATTAATTCCATCAATTCTTGAAGTAATTATTCAAAAAATTTAGAATGGGTGAATAGTGAAGAATTCTAATACATTAAAAATTGACATTTTTTACAATTGTCATTATTGATAATACAGATAATGGAAATATCCTGAGTTACAAGACCTGGATAGCATTAAATAGACACCATTTTTAACGTAAAAAGGCTACCTATTACCGTGATTGTAAATTTTTAAATGAAGATGTCGGAAACAAAATGTCAGTGAGCAGTTAGAATTCTACTGGGGCCAAAAATCATCTTCGGCTATTAGAAACGTTGTGTTAATTTTTTAGAAGATCTGTTCCAAACACCCTAATTGCTTGACAATATGGTATCATACGATTCTATTACGTACAGTTACTTAATACAATGTAAGTGCAATAAGAAACAAATAAAATTAAAAAAGATTTAGGTTGTTTTTGAAATACACCATTCAAATTTGAATGACCCGAAGTATTAAAAAAGCAACATTGCTTGGCAAACGAAGGTAGAATCGCATGACGAAATGATTAAGTGAATTACTATTCATTAATTTTTAGATTTCATTAAAAAGTTATTTCGAAAGAATAACAACCATATTTTGTTAACTTATGGCTACCGCAATGCATGGTCCGTGCTAAGCAGGTAGACCCAGCTGTATTCATTACTTGCGACGATTCTAATCATCTTCTAAAACTGTGCTTAACTGCTAAATGCCTGTGTTTAGGTTACAATTCTTTTTCAAATTTTAAATAATTCTCGTTCAAATGTACACGTAAGCTTCTGCGGTTCGTGTTGATGACTTCTTGGCTGTCCGGGTGACGCCGCATTGTTGGCTGAGAGGCCGACGTTTCATCTATCATATCGCTTCCAGACATCCAGGCTTTCAGGCTTCCGGGTAGTCACTACCCAGACAGTCAAAACGTCGGCCTCTCAGCCAACGACGCGGTGTCACCCGCACAGCCAAGATGTCAATTCTCTATGTTCATTCACTTAAGATTGTCTACAATCTGATTTACGAAACGAAACTAAATCGTGTTTAGTCAACCTTACCACACGAATAATATGATCGCTAACTAAACGTGTTTAGTACATCGTACGAATGCAACATTTCTGCCAGCGGCGCGCGGCGGGCTGCAGTCGGGCGTAGTACCTGGTGCGGCGCGGCGGGGCTGCTGTTGGTGTGGTGCAGCAGCAGCAGGCGCGCGCCGAGCTCCGGTTCGCTGCCCCAGCGGCCGTACGCCGTGCTGCGGTCCAGCAGGCGGCGGCGCGCCAGCTTCTCGATGGCCTCGGCGCACACGTAGCGGCCGCAGAAGCGCGCCCACTGCTCGGCGCGCAGCCCGCGCGCCGGGTCGCGCAGCGTGGGCGACGCGCCGGCCTGCAGCAGCACCTTGGCGCACTTGGTGCGGCCCTGCAGCGCCGCCTTCATCAGCGGCGTGAAGCCCAGCTGGTTGCGCGCGTCCACGTGCGCCCCGCCCGCCGTCAGCAGCGCGTCCACCACGTCCGCGAACCCTGACGCACACCCACACAAACACACTCACATATATACATAATATATACATAATATATACATAATATATACATAATATATACATAATATATACATAATATATACATATATATACTAGATTGATTAGTGATTCCGGGTACGTCAAGTGCTAAGGTCATTAGTCCCGTATGGGTAGTGCATAATATCGCAGAAGGTGGCGGTGATTATCCCATCTGGATAGTGATATCCGGTGCCGACCTACACGCCTACTTGTGGAGGGTTTTCCCCCCAACCAGGCAACTCCCACCAGCGAGATACCACCCCAGTCGGGTCAAGCTCTTATGTTTCAAGCCCGATATGTTTGGTAGTTTGGTAAGAATGTGTAAGGGTGAGGAAAGAATAAAGATTAAGAGGAAGGAAAGATCACACGCGATCAGTGGCCAGATTGTGAGGGGACTGCTCTGGCGTTCGCCTGATGGTGATTGGAGAAACCACTCATAACTACCAATCAGATCAGCCAGCCTCTAGTAAGCTCCTCCAGATTGCAGCGGGATTCAACCTAGCAGATTTCAAAACGCCTGGCTATCTAGCTAGTGTCGAAAAGCCACCACTGTCGGGATTCAAACCCTAGGACCTCCCGGTCACGTACTCCAGTAACATCAATTGATGCCATGAATCACCTAAACGGGTCCCATATAGTTATAATGATCGTTTATTCACTTTCTTATTCAATTGAAAATTTCTTTATTTCAAGTCATTCAATAATACTCCAAATTTATAGCATTTAGACGATTTAATATGTGTATTCTAAATCACATACAAATACACCAATATCCACAAATCTGAAACATGAATGAAATGCAGTAGATTAATATTTGAATTTTTTTGGTTGTGACCACTGGATTTGTGAAAACTGTACCCCTAATGCAATTATAGTTTACGTATATCCTTCCCATATTTTTATTAAATCTGTTATTATAGAGACATATTTTAAAGTCGTTACACGTTTAAGATTGACTTGGAAATAAAATAAATATATCATTCATGCATATTTTATATAAGAAAATGTTACTAAAATTAATTGGATAAAAATGAGTTTTCAGGATAGTTTCCTCTCCATCACGCATTGTTTCATCCAGTACAATAATTGTTACAAAACCCTGAACAACGCCAGAAAAATTAAAATCAAAACTTTGAATTTAAGCAAATTTATTTGTTTAACTTTTGAGAGTGACTACAAAGAATTGAAAGAATAAATAGTTTTTTGAAAAACTATTGTTCAAATATTTGTGAAAAAATTGTCACGAGTTACTCAATATTACACAAAGGCCAATACATTTTGAAAAAAGTACTTCAAGAAATGGTTAAAAATGAAATATTGAATTTTTGATGAAACAAATCTTAGCTTCAATATTGAAAATAAAGGTCCAGTTAAAAAGAAAAAGTTGTGGTAATTTGGGAACTTTTAATAAGAAATCATATGTGTCATTGTTTAAACTTACTTTTCTTTATTCTAGCAAATAATATAAAGAAAAAATGTGTCAACTTTTAAAAACATTTTGATAATATTCTAGAAACCTAATGTAAAATATTACTTCCAAAAAATCAAAGGATGCATTTCCAATATGCAGAGCTGTTACTTCATGTAGATCGATGGTGAATATCCATTTCACAGAACACTGAGAAGTGAAAATTGGAATTCTAAAAGTATTGATTTGGTATCTGGTTTCTGTGTGCAAATTCTCTACAATATTTGAAGTAAGGTTGCACGCTACTTAGCAAACAGAAGAAGGGTCATGAAGGTAGCAACGCATTTCACCACTGTTCAATGATCTGCGGATAATCTCATCATTAATAATTGTTCCGCGAGACTGAAATTAATTGGCAGTTCACTCTGTGTTTATTCTGACTCAAAAGCGGCTCATGTTCTGCAAAGTAAATCACTGCATTAGCAGATCTTCTGAATGAAGAAAAATACAAGACTCACTGTTTAGTGGTATTTTATATTAAAAAATTGGAGGATCTTCCTAAAGCGCAATATCAGTTTTACTATAAGGAGAGCTGCAGAGAAGACATTTACAGTTATGGTGACATATAAAAAAACAAACGATAATCGCTATGTACTTGATTCGAAATGACCCAAGTCCTAATCGGGGCGTTTTCCAAATAGGTCGATTGAAAAACAGCTCGAAAGCAAGTAGCCTCGAGTATTTACGCGAAAGAAACAGGTTCTTTACATTTCTGGCAACATCGTCGACCTGTGATGAAAATGACGAACAGCCGCTAGCACCTGGACGATAAGAACATTAATATCCACTTCAAAGCCAATTCCACTCTCTAACCTAAATACTCGCCTCATTCCCATAAACTGGACATCTGTGTCAATCTGAATCTACAAGTTTTAAGATATTTATTTCTACCTTTTCAACTTTTAGCATAACTTTGCTTAAAATATATTCGTTAATACGAGAAATTCAAATTGTTTATTACAAAATATTGGTAATCTAACATATTGGGTAGTTCCGTTAAGCTGGTAGTTCAGTTAAGCTAACTTATTGAAATAATTTGAAGTGTAATAAAAACAGAATTTTCAAATGGACAATCCTGCAAAGTGGCATAACGTTATAATAATTATTCAATACAGTAAATGCTTACTGCTGTTCGGAAAAATAGTTTTCAAGTACAAAATTCGTCATTGGATTATTGTGAATGTATTATCGATATAAAGCTTACTGTGAATACTCAACCACAGGAATCTTACACATTTATTAAAAAAATATTTCTCTACCGATTTGAATTAATGTTCACATTTTGAACTTAACTTGCAAGCACAATGGTTTGATTTGGTCTTTGAATATGGCTCAACCAATGCCAAATTTCCTTGACCGTAGAAGCATTACCAGACATTTTAAAATAGCTTAAGTAAAATTGATCTTCATAATGTAAGATAAGAACAACATTCAAATTATTGATCAGTTTCCATTTTGTGTATTAATTAAATAATTAAATAATTAAATTAATTAAATGATTATATGCTTATATATGTATTGCAATCACCACACCTGGAGTAGTGCTCGTTGCTCAGTGAAAGCTAATTGTATAATCACCGAAATGTTTTTGAAGGATACTTGATTTGTCAGAAGAACAGATGGAAGTAATAAATAATTCAAGGTTGTCACCTTTTACACTAGGGGCAGACTATTTAGGAGACAAATGACTTTACAGTGACGAAGGCGTAAAAAAATTGTCATTTCTTTCTTCTACGAACTGGCGGCAAAGATGTAGGAGGAGGTAGGGTCACAAAAACTCGTTCCTCTACATGACAAGTGTTCGAATGTTCATGGTGACTAGGTGGAAAATTAATTTATATGTTTGCGCATATTCAATTAAAACATCTTGCAAAAGTTGTCATTATTTGCCTTTTAAATCGAAAACTAATTCGACTTTCCGAACGATCCTTGGTGAAGATGATTCAGAACGCAACTCGTGGACGTAGATAACATCCGTAGGGACAGTTTAAATGTTTTGTCTATTCAAAGTCGAAAGAAAGGGGGAAAGTTGGAAGATTCAATATCAAAAATTTAAGTCGTAAAGAAGCACCCGATTGGATGACAATTCCCCTTTCCTTCCAGGTCGTTCATTGATAGATTAGGGATTTCGGGCGCGTAAACGGAAAAGAATGGGTCCCGTCCCGTAAGTGTATTGCATGTTTCCCTCGAGAGTTAACGAAGATCTTCCCCCCGCTGGATGACGAAATCTGGCACCAACCTAACGGTCGAATAACGGGGTTTCCCTAATCAGGTATTTCCCACAAGCAGGGCACCGCCCCAGCCGGGACAAGCTCTAAGCTCCCGACATTTGCGGTAGTGTAAGTGTAATTTTGTGTAAGTAAGGGGTGAGGATAGGACAAGGAATGGGAAGGAAATATAGCGTTCAGCCGTGGCCTATTTGTTAGGGTACTGCTCCGGCACTCATCTCTGAGAAACCACGGACAACAAACAGTCAGAGCAGCCGGCCGCTCGAATTATTCTCCAGTCAGCGACTGAACTAACCCTATCTAGCGAGTGTTGGAGATTCTGTCGCCTCCGTCGGGACTCGAACCTAGGATCTCCCGGTCAGAGGCACTGCAGTGATATCAGTCGATACCCTGAGCCACCTCTCCACGTCCTTCCAGCTCGTGACCTTCCAGGACCACTACATTTAGATCATACTATAGTGCTGGGAGCACGTAGGTACGCACCTGCCTGCGCAGCGAAGTGCAGCGGCGTGTTGCCCTCGTTGTCGGCCTTGTTGGCGTCGAGGCCCGGCACGGACAGCAGCGCCTCCAGCATGGGCCCCGAGCCGTGCGCCGCCGCGTAACTCACCGCCGTCTGCAACAGACAAATACCACACGTCACAAACAAGCCGTAAGAAACAATTGAAATTGAAATTTGAAATATTCATCTAATCGAGTAAAATTGAAGACTTAACATGTAAGTGCTGTTAAATTTGCGATTTTGCCAGAATAATGATGAGTAAATCAAAGTCTAAATCATAAATAAAAACCCAAGTCCATACGCATTTCTTAGTAGTGTTACGATGTGATTATAAATTGCAGGAGTTGTATGAACTAATAGGTTTAACGTAAACAAACTCATTTTCCTGGAAAGTACTAAAATTGAATTACTTCTTTTTTTTCAAGCCTTCAATTGTTTCGGCTTCCTTAAATTTCAACTTTTTTCTTGTGTGTTTAATGAAGAGTACAGGTGAGTTCAATGTTACACTATAAAATAGACACTATTGTTATTATAGGGGATGAGGATGTTAGAGAATGACAATGTTATATCTGTCTAGTATTAAATGAAATATATATAATCTCAAAATTAAAAATTTTAGAATGAGCACAATTGGTAAATTTTCTCGCTTTCTTCTCACCTTTTTCTAGATGTTGGAAAGGAAAGTTTGTTCGTCAGAAATAACAAAGTTACATGTATACTGAAAGAGAATGGGTGGGTTTCTCGCGTGCATCCGAAACGGCTCTTCTCTGGTACTTTCGTTGCGTAGTAAGACCCGAAAACAATTGAAAATCGGTGACAAGATGTCATCTATCCATGTGTTGACCACGTCACATTGAGCTATATAATGCGCATTGCTCGTTGTGATGGCACGGACACAGATTGAAAAATCATTCAAAGGTACAACAAATTTACCCAGAAGAATTTTCCCAGAACATTGCTGCGGATGGTTCTGCGACATCATAGTGATACACTGTTTTAGGTACGGTTATAATGCAATGTCTCATCAAAGTAGATTTTTATTCCTTAATTTCCAGAGCGTTTGCATTATCTTAGATCATAATTTTGTATTTGTGGAATAATAATAATTATCAATCTTCAAATACAATTTAAGAACAATCTTCGAAAAAGTATATTTTTTACATTTTAATGCATATATTAAATTTGAAAACTACTTTTACTTACTACTTATTTAGATTGGTAATGCACATTATCAACTTCACTAGAGCCGATTTTTTAAATTAATTTTCATCAATTTAAATAAAATTAAAACATAATTAAATTAAATTTCAAGAGGAATGTTAAGATTTGTATTATCATAGTTACATTCGAATAAATTGATATATTTACTGTGCATTTAAGAGAATGAATATTAGCCTCCACCTACAACTTCACGTGCATTGAAAGCTTAAGAGCTTTCGCAATCCATGCAAATGTTACTCATTTATCTCGTGTGACCTTGCACTACTGTGATTGAGTTTACCTGCACGTTCGCTAGGCATTAAGTTTCTTACAAATATCGCATTATCTTTCTCTGTAGACGTTAGGGACATTAGTGAAGCGTCACAGTAAAAGCTAAGAACTTATTACGTATTTCATTTCGAAAGTTCCTTTTCTGCGATCATCGTCACAGTCGAAACCTATTCCTTCAATGTGATAATCCACTTTCACTTCAAACATTTTTACAACACAATTGAGTTACGTATAAAGTCGTATCTAAACGTAAGAAAAATATCCGATATTTCTTCAATCTCGATGAATAATTCTTTCATATTCGATCATCTCGATATAAATTCTTTCATATTCGTCATATTGACACCTAAGCAGTGTCATTTTTAAACAATTCTTTCAATTTTCCTAAAAATTTACTAATCAGAAGAAAAATTTTAAACGTCTTCTGTCACATTTCTTGACTTTCTTTGAAACGAAAGAAAAGAAAACTAGGGATTTGTGATATTTATCTTAAAGTATTCTATTATTACGCGTTTAGTAATAATTTTTGTTGGCCCCTGTGCAAGAGAACATCAGTCCCGTTGACGAACTATATTGTTAACACAGGTGTTTGAAAGATACCAAAGTCCATAGTTGGGGCGTGGGAATGAACCACAAAGGCGAATACAACCATGACGTCACGGGTGCAAGGGGCTTCGGCTGCTGGGTCACCTCAGTCGGTCAGAGCAAGTGCACACGCGGTGAGCCTCAGATGTTGGGCGGCGGAGCGGGGGAGGCGGGGCGCGTGTCGACCTTTAGGACACATCAAAGGGAGCGAACATTCGCCAACAACATCAGCTGCTCGTCGACTGAGAGAGCAGTGGTAGTTTGGACGGGTTGCTCGCTATTCGCCGTGCGCCGAAACAATCTGGTATTCGCCGTACCCGCCGCGTGTCGACCTTTTTAGGACACATCAAAGGAAGCGAAGATTCGCGCCCCAACACATTCAGCTGCTCGGGACTGAGAGAGCAGTGGTAGTTTGGACGGGTTTGCTCGCTATTCGACGTGCGCCGAACATCGTATTACGCGCGTACCCGCCCGCGTGTCGACCTTTAGGACAACAAAGCGACATAAAGGGGAGCGAACATTCGGCCCAACACATCAGCTGCTCGGGAACTGGAGAGAGCAGTGGTAGTTTGGACGGGTTGCTCGCTATTCGCCGGCGCGCGGACATCTGTATTCGCGTACCCGCCGCGTGTCGACCTTTAGGACACATCAAAGGGAGCGAACATTCGCCAGCAACACATCAGCTATCGGGACGAGAGAGGCAGTGGTAGTTTTGGACGGGTTGGCTCGCTATTCGCCGAGCGCTCGAACATTCGGTATTCGCAGAGGCATCTAATATAATAAAAAGTGTTTTTAGAATTTTTCTTGTTGTTATTTTTTTTTTCTGGTTGGGTTTTGGGTGAGAAGTTTTTTTTTTTGTAGTTCCAGAAAATTTTATCCCGTATCACTAGAAGTAAGAGGGAATAATCTAAGAAACCGAAAGAAGATAAAACGAAATAAAAATAAACCACGCTTGATCCGTGAAGAACAAAAGAATACCGCACCAGCTTACTTCGCGAAGGAAGAAGAGCGCACCGCGGCCCCACCCCCCCCCCCCGTCCCCGCCGCGTGTCGCCCTTTCGCCCTCCACGGGCCGCCCCTTCGCCCCCTCCCTCCTGCTCGGGCCCCTGCGCGCCGCCGTGGTCGTTTGGCCGGGTTGCCCGCTCTTCGCCGCGGCGCTCGGCCCCTTCGGTCTCGCCGTCCCCGCGCGTGTCGCCCTTCTCGGCCCCCCCACAGGTCACAATCCCCGGGCCGCGCCCCTTCGCCCCCCCCTCCCTGCTCGGGCCTGCGCGAGCTCGTGGTGTTGGCCGGCGTTGCTAACGCCAATTCTTCGCCGCGCGCCGCCCCCTTCGGTCCCCTTTCGCCGTCCCCGCCGGTGTCGCCCTTTTCGGCCCCCTCCCGGGCGCGCCCCTTCGCGCCCCCTCCGCTGGCTCGGGCCTGCGAGCGCCGTGGTCGTTTTGGCCGGGTTGCTCGCTCTCGCCGCGCGCCGCCCCTTCGGTCTTCCCGCGCCGCCCGCCGCGTGTGCCCTTTCGGCCCCCCTCCCCGGGCGCGCCCCTTCGCCCCCCCCCTCCCGCTGCTCGGCCGCCGCGCCGTGGTGTTTTGGCAGGGTTGCTCGCTCTTTCGCCGCGCGCCGCCCCTTCGGTTCTTCGCCGTCCCGCGCGTGTCGCACTTTCGGCCCCTCCCCGGGCGCGCCCCTCGCCCCCCCTCAGCCTCCTCGGGCCCGCGCGCGCCGTGGTCGTTTTGGGGCACCCCGGGTTGCTCGCTCTTCGCCGTGCGGGCCGCCCCTCCGGTATTTGACATAAACGCCGTCCCGCCGCGGTGTCGCCTTTCGCTGGCCCCTCCCCGGGCGCAGACACACCTTCGCCCCCCCCCCTGCCGTTGCTCGGGCCTGCGCGAGCGTGGGTGTTTGGGCCCCCAGGAAAAAAAGATTAGACTCACGCTCCTTACGCCGTGCGCCGCCCCTCCGGGGGGGTTTTTTCTTCGCCGTCCCATAATCACCACCTGCGCCGCGTGTCGCCCCTTTAGGCCCCCTTCCCCGACGGGCGGACCCTTCGCCCACCTCTCCCCTCCGCTTGCTCGGCCTCATTGCGCGCGCCGTGGTCGTTTGGCCGGGTTGCTCGCTCTTCGCCGCGCGCCGCCCCATAATCGGTCTTTCGCCGTCCCCGCCGTACGTGTCGCCCTTTTGGGCCCCCTCTCAGGGCGCGCCCACTTCGCCCCACCCTCCCTGCTCGGGCCTGGGGGCGCACGCCGTGGTCGTTTGGCCGGGTTGCTCGCTTCGCGGCGTCGCCTCCTTCGGTCTCGCAACACACATACTCCAGCCCGCCGTGTCCGCCCTTTTCGGTTCCCCCCGGGCGCGCCCCTTTCGCCCCCCCTCAGCTGGCTCGCGCCCTGCGCGGCGCCGCTCCTCCCGCTGCGCCTTTCTTCCTCCCTGTTCGGTGTTTTCGGCTGCCTCTTCCGGTGCGGGTCGGCCCTCGGGCAAGGCGTGCGGGACCAACCGCCGCGTCTCTTTAGAAGTCCTCCTCGGTGCCCTCGTCGCCTTCGCCGGCCCCCCCCGGGCCCCCCGGGCAGTGCGACACAACTAAGTCTCTCCCCCCTTCGGCCCCCTGCTCCTGCTCCCCCCAGCGGCGTCTGCTTCCGTTTCGCCCCTTGGGGTCGCGCCCCCTCCTGCTGCGCGCCCCCCGGTCCTTTTTCCCCCGCCCCCGTCCTTGTTAGATGCCCCGGCCTACGGCCCCGTGCTCCCTTTGTTCCTCTTTCCTCTCCTCCCTATACTTCCCCCCCCCTTCTCCCTGTGTGTTGGCACCCGTGTTGTGTGCCTCTTTGCTCCCGCCCCCTTCGGCTTTCCGGTCCCCTCTCGTCGGTCGTCTCTGTCTCTCGCGGCCCGCCCGGCCGTTCTGTCCGTCTGTGGCTCCCCGCCTCGCCCTTCTCCCCCCTCCTTCTCGCTTTTCCTCCCCTTGTTGCCCCTTCCCCGACTAGCTGCGGTGCTGCCCTTGCCCCCGCCTGTTTTCCTTTGTGGGCTGTCTCGTTTTCCCCCGCCGCTTGTGCCGTCCTCTTCCCTTTGT